TAGTAGTAGTAGTAGTAGTAGTAGTAGTAGTAGTAGTAGTAGTAGTAATAGTAATAGTAATAGTAGTAGTAGTAGCAGTAGTAGTAGTAGTAGCAGGAGTAGGAGTAGGAGTAGGAGTATAGTATAGTATAGAATAGAAATAGCAATAGATAATAGACAAACAATAGTATATAGAAACTACCACGTATTACCAATTCTTCTTCTTCTTCCTTTTGCTACTTGTATTTCTACCACTTTCACCATCCCTATTGTCTCAGGCTCTTATCGTGCCTGTGCCTTGGCCCCAGACAGTGGCACCTCGGCCGCGCTGGCGGCGCCGAGTTGGCTGGCGCGGCGCTTGGCGGAGCAACTGGCGCCCGGCGAAAGCGCCGAGAGCTGTTGGGAGATGCCACGCTTGGGCTTCCGGTTGGAGGATTCAGACTTTGCTTCAGCCGGAGGGACTGGGATTTTACGGGTCCAGCAGCTAGTGACAGGAGTGTATCCATGCCTAGAATTTCGGGTCACTATCAGGAGAATGACATCTTCATGGATTACCCTTGAATTCAGCTCCAGGTCTATTTTTGGGAGCTCCCAATTTTGGGTTTCAGGAGTCGGACCATATTTCTTGGGGTTTCAGGAGTCGGACCTCCTCCTGGAGCTTGAGGCATCTGACTACGCACAGGTCCACGAGGACTGTGAGCTGCAGCTGATGGCAGTGGATGTTCCAGCACCCCATGGGCCGTTGATCCTGCTGGGCGATCCTTTTTTGAGGCTGGAACCTTTCTTGAGGACCTGATTCATCACGATTTGGGGCCCACTTCAGATTTCATGATTGATTGACTGTAGTGACTGTAGCTTATCATCAATCAAGGCCTTTGGTGCTCACAGACTAGCTTTGGTCAATGCTGTGAGAGAACCTTTACAGCCTTTTGCACACAATCCCCAAACATCTGTGTAGCCTGAGTGTTTCTCTGAAATAGCCTTTGATCAGGCAGGCCTTTGTAAGCGTCCACCACCTCTGGACGTTCTCGATGTGCAAAATTCATTCCGCCATCAGTTTGAACGGTCAGGAAGTACTACACGGTCTATGACCGCGAGCGGCTCCAGATAGGCTTTGCCCTGGCCCGCCATAGTAAAATCATTTGCCCTGTGAACTGTGGATCAGGGTAGGCCTGAACAGAAGGTTCTTTGAGAAGTATGCAGTGGATCCAAATTTGTCGAGTGATCCAATTTGAGTGGTTGTTTATGAACTTACTGTATCCATCCAGATTTGTTGGCTTAGTTCGAGAAGTTTCCGTTTGCAGACGATGCTTCTTCGCAGAAAGTAGTGGCAACATGTCCTCCGACAGGGCCCCTCCCAAAGTTGGGCATTGACAAAACCTCAGGATGCAGATGCCACAGACCTTGCTTGTTTTGTTTACGGACAAGAAAACTATGCCTTTCATCTGGGTGTTGCTCTTCGAGTCTTTGAGAAGACTGCGACTCTTTATCATTTGGTAGGAGGCCCTCTTAGGTTGGAGGCCATCGCTTCTAGGTTGGAGGCCAGGTTCCCAGCCTGGGGTCTTCCATGCCAAAGAGGGGTCCACCCAAGAGTCTCTCATGAGCATCTATCTATGTAGGCAGATTGTTTGATGTTCATTGACCTCTTGGGAAGGCGGTCTTTGATTCTCAGCCAAGAGTTTCATGGCTCACAGGAGAGTCCAAGAGAAAGTGAGCAGCTCTGAAGCAACTTTTCAGTATTTGCCAAGCTGTAGGCGATATGACTTGGCATGTAGCATGACCTGATCATCACAACAGGACCTGACTTGTTACCACCAGATCAGAGTCATTCTAACAGCTAACATTTCCCCCGAGCCATCCTTCCACTTTGTTCCTCAACGTGCCCCATGAAGAGCTAATGGCGACGCCCGGGAGCCCAGAGCTTCTCTGCTGGTTGCCCGGCCTGGATGGATGGGGACCGTGCGACCATGTGGACGAGACGAGGAGGGCTCCTCCAACTTATCAGCTTCTCTGTGAGCATGCAACGTCTACTTACTTCAAGCACATAAGCTCGCCCTGCTGCATGAGTTCTTGATCGCTTCTGCCCCGCCAACCCAGGAAGGGGAAGCTTAGCTCTCCTCAGGACTTGGCGATTGCATTGGTGACAGAAGCAACTGCTTTGATGTCCCAAAGCCTGCTGGAATGGACCTCTGACCTCTAAACCGCGACAGTCGCAAGCTGTTTTGCTCTCCCTTCGCAACAATGACCCCAACATTTGATAGATCTTATTCAGCAGCTCGAAGTGGAGTGTGTAGTGCGTGGCTGACATATGGCTTATGTTTATACCAAAGATACACGTATACTTAAACACAAATCCATCAATTTACAACTTGCCCAACGATTCCATTTCTGTTTCCTGTCGTCCCACTTTTGTCGGTCTCCAAGAGACCAAACACCCCAGGAGTCCTTGCAGCAACCCTCACAGGGCTTTTCGACTCAGCTACCATCCACTCGCTCGGGAGATCGCTCCTCCTTGGATGCACTCAGTTTCAACGTCTCTGAGCGGAGGCGTGGCTTGAAGCCGCTGATGGCGTGGCTTGAAAGACCAAAACACGGAGAGAACCAAAACCGCTGATGGAGCGAACCTGGTGGAACCAAAACCGCTTGTCTTGCTTCGCATGCTTGACTGTGTGAGTGAACCCTCAAGCCTGACAAACAGTGCCACGCATTTCTTTGTGTAGTCGAAGTCATTTCATGTTTCTGGGACTTTTGAACCCGCCCTTCAAAGTTGCCTGATCATCGCAAGTAGGTTGAAGGCCATCGCTACTAGTAACAATTAGGTTGACCACGACTTCCAGTTGAGTCTCGGTGCAGGTATGCTTCAGCCAATTCCAGTGGTGCCCAGGTGGGCGGAGGCTGGGTGACCAGATTGGAGGAAATCCCATGTTGAAAGATTTTATTGGCCTTGGTTTCGCAGCTAGATACTTTGGATGAAGTGCACACAGTCGAGCTGTCTAGCTGAGGCAAACAGACATTCAGTTTCCTTGCTTTCTGCATTTCTCACTCAGTGCATGTTTGAACACCAGCAGTTCGTTCCAATATGATGAAAGCAGGCAGACAGAGTTTGATTTTTGTGTGACGAGTGGCTTTTCTTCGTGCCAGCGCGCCAGCGTCTTTTCCTGAGGCTCCTATAATGTGTACTTCGAGGATCATTTGCAGGGTGGCTCAGGACTCTTCCCCAAGTAGATGAACCGAATTGAGGCGAAGTGGTGATGGTTGAGGGTCCCAACCGATGGGGTGTTCTATATTCCGAACCCACCAGGATGGGTGACACCCAAAGTTGGTTGCTCATTCCAGCTGGCATCTCAGGTCCCGTTTGCATGCCGACATCGAGCTCACCACACGCAAGCGTGCTTCTCAGATCGTGGTCAGCGAAGAAGCTCTCTGATTCTTGCTGAGAAACCATTTTCTGAAGTGGATCGCATTTGCCTGCGCCGAGTGGTCTAGATTCGAGACATCCCAACAACCTAGCAGATCAAGGGCCAGATTGGGTTGGTCACGCCAGAGGGTGTTTGTCTAGATTTTTGAGCTAGCTTGCTATGTTCATTCTCTAAGCAGACAGCTGAGAGGCTTGAGCTGGAGCAGCGGCGCCTGGCGAAGCTGGACAAGGTGAGAGAGATTTGGATCGTCGACGAAAGGTCGGTGCTGAAAGGTTGGATTTGGTTTTGGCGTCAACACAGGACATAGATGCTGGACCGGACATAGATTGTTCGGGTGAATCTCCTGCAACCTGAGGATATGTACAGCCAACGCACATTTTGGAATAGGGATGTGTATACGTTGAGCAGCGATTCTTTCAGCATTGAAGCACTTGATACTATAGATGCAGCTCTAGTGAACTGTTGACCTAGAGATTCATCAATGTTGTGTGCCATAGACCTTTTTGGGAAAGATGTCATGCGTATACGATATATGTTATATATATATATATAGAGACACACACACACAGAGTGACACTTGCGCTGACCAATCTCAAAGGAAGTTCAGCAGGTTCTAGGAAAATTGACAACCGAGGTTGGTCTTTTTGTTGTGTGGTTGTGGGTGAGACAACTGTAGCTTTGCGAAACAACTGTGGAGGGAACATGAATTTCTTGGCCTGCCCTGAGGTTTTGGGGGGAACGAAGACCCGACTGTCACACCTGTCCTTTCCCAGGACCTGGCCGCAGCAGAGTCAGAGTACACTCAGAAGCGCCAGAAGTGCGCCAGGAGGAATGATGGTGACAGGTGACACTTCTGGTTGGGTTCGGAATTTGATGCAGGGACATAGTCATGTCATCATCATAAATGTGATGGACATCTAGTGTAGCACAATTTCATGCCTCATTCGGCCCAGGTACAAAGTCATGCAAAGCTCTCAAGAGGATGCTCAAGCATCGCGCCATAAGGATTTGCTTCAACTGGAGAGGCCTGGTGGGTAAATGTTGCAAATGATATTTTTAGTTTGTTTTCTGTTTTGTGTCCTTCTTTTTTCTCTACCTCCTCTTGTAATTCTCAAGAAGATGAAGAAACATGAGCTGTGGACACGATGTGGCAGGCAGCTGGACTTAGCAATTGCAGGGTTCAACAAGCTCAATGCCCACAATGATGGGCCGCGGTGGCCCAGTGTTACGAACCGTACTCGTGCGCAGCAGGCAATCATGGCCATAAGAACCCCCAACAGCATCACTCAGTAGTTTGATGGCTACTACTGTGAACTGTATGACTGTAGGACCGTGTTCCCTTGCTTTCTGCATACATTCGGAGCCGCCTACTGCTTTCTAGAGGCCAGTAGTCTTACCTTTCCTGATTCTGGAGAGTGCGACAGCAATTGTTTGAGAGTGCGACAGCATAGGGTGGATTTGAAGCACAAGGCTGTCCCGATTCCCATGTCGTCCCCGTCGACCTGCAACTCCGCTGGGAAGAGCCAGGTTGCGAGCGCAGATTGACCAATTGCGAAAGGAAAGGCAGCTCTTGGATCACGTCTTTAGGCGCACCGACAGTCTTCCTTCTCACCGGACTGAGCTCAGGTTTGGTCATTGGATTTGTGGGTTCCTTTCTTTCAAGAAGACAAACAATGCATTGGGCCACTCATGCTTGGGGGTCGGCTTTTTGTGTTTTGATGTCTATGTATGGAGGGCGATCTATTTTTGCTTTGTGTGTTTTTTTGTTTGTTGTTTGCTCTCTCACGTGCTGCTTCCGTGGCTTATGGCTTTTGGCTTCTATTTTTTTTGCTTTTGGTTCCTGTGGCTTCTGCGGCTTTTGGCTCTTGCGGTTTTGTGGCTTCTGTGGCATTTGGCTTGTGTTCAAAGCTCCAGAAAGAGCTATTATATACCTAGCAAAAGCAAAAGCAAGGAGGAAACCACGATACATTTGTACAACATACATGTCAAAGTTTTAGAAGGAGCTAATTAGCAAACAACGAAAACAAGGATGAACCCAAGAGACACTTGTACACTTGCACATCCACACAAACTTCCCAGCTTTTTCAAGCCAAGGCAAGTCAACCAAAACGCAAAAAACAGAGCAAATCCACAGCTGAAGGCTCGCCTCCACAGAAAAACTGCACCCTCCTCAGAGGCACCAGGGGACTACACTACACTGCTGGGAACCTTCCTAAAACCTCCTAGGGAACAACCTAGCAGCAAAGCCCCCCCAAAATTTTTCCTCCAAAAGGAAGCACACATTAAAAATTACCATTTCAGCTCTATTGTATTTCAAGGAATGTGCCACCGATTGGTGTTCTGGTTGGACTTGTTGGTTCGACCCAAACGCTCTCAGATTGGCTGACTGTCCTGAAATTTCCTGGCCCTTGACGTTTTGAACTTCACCGTCCTCCACATCCTAAACACGGTGCTAGCTGGACAGACGATAGAGCACATTCAACCATCTGCCAGGAAGATGGAGAATTCCATCCGTGCCAGCCGAAGGGCCGAATGCTGAGAGGGCCGCCATGGCTGGCTGTTGTCCATGGAAGGCACCAAAGAGTTCACCGGTGTTATCCTAGGCCATTGAGGAGGCCAACACAGACATCACAGGCAACAGGCAAGATTACCGAGCTTGGGGATTTTACATCCCTAGCTGATTTTCGAGGGATGGAGTTGATCCATCAGCTGCTTATCCATGGTTGATCCTTGCAACCGGGGTCATGTTGGTTTTGGGAGTGACTTCATGCCAAATTTGGCTCTGGGAGAGGAAGCTGCCTGAGAATCCTGATATGAATGTTCACCCAATATAGCTATATATATATAAGTTCGTGCAGAAGACGGTAAGCTACTGTCATTGGAAGCCCAAGAATCCGTGTTTTTCTCCGCTTGCTTCCAAAGCCACATCCGTTGGGTTCCCTCGTTCCGTCCAGTCGACCCGGTTGCCCCTCGCACAGGTCGGAACATGACAAGATGCAGCAAAGATGCCAAGCATTAGGTGGTCTCGGCAAGTCTGGCGAAGCCGCGAAGCCAACCTGGGTCGATCGTAGGAATTGCTTGTAAGTCGCATGCGAGATTTGCGAGGTTCCTCGTTCGTTGAGTAGCGGGGCAAGATTTGTCGGTATGGCCAGGGAAAGCTTTAGAGCGTGAGCGAAAGAACTTTCAGAAGCAGACTGAGGCCAGCCCCGCTCTTTGTGAGTAGTGCCATGGCATGGAACGTAAGTTGACATTTTATATCTTTCCTCCTGTGAAATGGTTATCCTCGCGTTCAATGTGACCAGCACTGCTTGATCTTCTCCCCACGCTGTCTTTGAAGAACCCCAAATTGCGATTGTGTGAGGTGCGGTGTACAAGACAGACTCTCGTGCGGGGTACTGGGTATTCAAAGAGGCGAATTTTTCGAGTGTGTTTTGCTTTGAGCCAGGAGCTTAAGAAGCAGATCAATGAGCAGAACAAAAAGGCAGGGACAGTCTTGTGTCTCCTGGTGCCTTGTTTGGGCAAGGTGTTTATTCACATGCATAGCAGAGGCTCACCATTTTATCATCCACCAGCCCAGCCAAGTACTTCCTTTTTGACACTGTTTGATGCCAGAGTTGGGTCTTTCAGAAGCTCGAAGCTCGACAGTCTCTCAACAAGTCAGGGCTTGACAGAGAGAGAGAGAGAGAGAGCGCGCGCGCTTCTTCTGCAATTTGCAACGCAGAGGCACGAGAGCAAGAGCTGCTGTTTGTGGCCTCAGTGTTGCTGTAGAGAAGGGTTCCCGGTCTCTCTTGGAAAGCTCCAGAGCATCATCTCTCAAGAGTGAAGACTAGGTGGGGTCCTGACAATCATTTTGGCCTTTCTATCACGACACCCAAGACACCCAAGAATTCAGCAGGTGAATCGTCATAACTTCTCATCCATTCCAGCCATTGTCTGAGGAGTCGTGCAGGTAGCCCCTCCGCACACGACGGGACCGCAGGGCCCAAAGGGCCGGGGTGACGGGAAAGCTGTGGCCATGCAGTTTCGGGAGGATGAGTAGGTGCAGAGGCCAGTTTTGCTCCGTGCTTTTTCATTCAAAAGTTGCTTTTATCAGCAGTCCTACAGTTGCTTTCTGGTTGCAAAGCTGAGCAGCTCACGCCCAAACATCATCGAGTGGCTTCGTTAGTTTACGAACGATCGGCCTTAACATGGCGTTTACATATCAACATACATCCATCGTGTTTTGTTGAGACCATATGTGCACAAAAAGCGAGATGGGGTCAGCCGTTTGTAGCAGCATTGAGACATGTTTTGTTTTTCTGGCAAGGTGCAAGTACGCTGTCAAAGTAGCTGATGGTCAATATGCGGAAACTAGTTTTCATTTGAGACTTCAGAGTCGGAGTCAGAGACTTGGCGGCTTGGCATGTCAGCACGAGGGTCAGGCCTCACAGCGTTTGACACATGTGTGCAATCATGTGTTGTGTACTTTGGAATTCGTTGCGAAACTGCATTCCTCACTCCCTGCGTTTCATCACATGTTCCTCCTCAGCCTAATTTGGTTACTCCCCGAAATGAGCCAAGCAAAGTCATCAAAGTGAAGAAGAGCAACAAATATTGTGCTAGGAGCCCGGGCTCCCGGCGGAAGAACTTCATGGTGGCCGACGAGGTGTGGTGCCGGTTGTTTGCACAGTTCCTTGACTGGATCAAACAGCCTACGACCCTGTGGCCCATCTGGCCACTCGTCTGGGAATTGGAGCAACGACAAAGATTTCTCCGATATCCTCCAATCATACGAAGCAACAACTCATTGTACTCTACTAGGGGCTCCTGGCATCGCTACTAGGAGCAAGGACGCTACTAGGAGCATTGAGTACACCGATTTGAATGTCGCTGTGGACTCCATGACTATGGATTTGCAGTCTGAAAGGATGCTCTTCTGGTGGTGGCTATTCAAGGGCAGCAAAGCGATATAATAAGATATCAGATACAATAAGCCTTAGTTGTGAGGAGCCTATCAAGAGGCATACTGCTTTGGATCGAGCTGAGCAGCTCAAACAGATACAGAGTTCTATCACGGGCCATTTAGCTCTCAGAAGTATCTTATCTCTTGATTTTTCTTGGTGAACACAATTTTTGTTCGTCAACTCTACTATAGACATCTATAGATAAGTGCTGAACCTTCCCGCCGTTACACAGGAGGAGGCCTTCTCCGAGAGCGCCATGCACCGGCGAATCTTGAAAGTGTGCTTTCTCAAAACGATCCAACGCAGGCGCAGGGCCAAAACACTGGCCTGAAAACACGCGTCTACTAACGTCAGATGTGTGGGCCATATTGGCCCGCCCGAGACTTTCGAGCCAAAGACATGATATGATTTGAGAAAGAGATTCTTGGCCCGTTCTGGTTCAAACCAAGGTGCTTCTCGCGGGAGAGGGGCTTGAGTTTGCTCCATTTTGTTCACCCCAGACCTCATGGGCTGCCGTCCAAACTTTCCCCGATGAGATTGCTGGTGTTTTTGCTTGGACGCTTGGATGATAAGGGCTGCCTTAAGGAGTGCTCTCGGCAAAGGGCTGACCTTTTGGCCAGGCACATTTGTCGCACATATATGCATCCAGATGATTGTCCTTGTGTGACCGGACACAATCCTGGGTTCCGAATGTTTTGCATTGTTTTTTTTCCCCAAACAGTGTGGGGACACTGAGGGGTTCTTACGGTAGGTGAAAGGAAGGTGTGCTTAGATCGCTGTTCCGCGCGGGCGTGTGCAGCTGATTCGCTGCTATTTACAGTACATTCATGCCTCTCGACATCGTCCATGTGCACTTCGACTGCGCAGGCTCGCAGAATCTGCGGGCCGGCGGCGGGTGCTTCTAGCGACTGCGCTCTCGTTGTGGTGCCGTGCACATTTTCGCACATGGTGGTCACTTTTCGTGGCAGGCGCAAGGGAAACCTCGTGCTTTGGTGCTCCAAAGTCGACTTTTCGTGACAGGTGCAAGGGATCGGAGGTGTTTTGCTCCGAAATGTTTTCGTGGCAGGTGCAGCACTTTGGACATGGTGGTGATCGTCAAGGAGCTCAGATTTCGTGACAGGTGCAGTGAATCGTGACTTTCGGACATGTGGCTCGTTTGCGGATTTCGTGGCAGGCACAGCACTCTGTGACCCTCGATGTGCAGATTTCGTGGCAGGCGCAGCACTTTGTGCGCCTCGAAGTGCAGATTTCGTGGCAGGTGCAGCACTTGGTGAACCTCGAAGTGCAGATTTCGTGGCAGGTGCAGCACTTGGTGAACCTCGAAGTGCAGATTTCGTGGCAGGCGCAGCACTTGGTGAATCTGGACGTGGAGATTTCGTGACAGGTGCAGCGCTTTGTGCACCTTGAAGTGTAGATTTCGTGGCAGGTGCAGCACTTGGTGAATCTGGACGTGGAGATTTCGTGACAGGTACAGCGCTTTGTGCACCTCGAAGTACAGATTTCGTGGTAGGTGCAGCACTTGGTGAACCTCGAAGTGCAGATTTCGTAGCAGGTGCAGCACTTGGTGAACCTCGAAGTGCAGATTTCGTGGCAGGCGCAGCATTTGGTGAATCTGGACGTGGAGATTTCGTGACAGGTACAGCGCTTTGTGAACCTCGAAGTGCAGATTTCGTGGCAGGCGCAGCACTTGGTGAACCTCGAAGTGCAGATTTCGTGGCAGGCGCAGCATTTGGTGGACCTGGAAGTGCATATTTCGTGGCAGGCGCAGCACTTGGTGAGCCTCGAAGTACAGATTTCGTGGCAGGTGCAGCACTTGGTGAGCCTCAGAGTGCAGATTTCGTGGCAGGCGCAGCACTTGGTGAACCTCGAAGTGCAGATTTCGTTGCAGGTGCAGCGCTTGCTGAACCTTGAAGTGCAGATTTCACGGCAGGCACAGCACTCTGTGACCCTCGATGTGCAGATTTCGTGGCAGGCGCAGTACGTTGTGCTCTCAGATGCTCACTCTCTCACTCTCCCACTTTCATTCACACTCACACTCCCTCTCACCCACACTCACTCACACTCACCTTCACTTCATCACCACCACCACCTCTCTGCTTACAGACCTCACACACACACTGTTTGGGGTCTCTTGCCGGATAATCCTTTTTTCGTTCCATTCCATAACACAGCTCCGAAGACACAAGAGAACCTGGAGTGAGTGAGTCAAGATCACGAAGGTGGTCTGATGATGTAACGTGGAGTTGTTAGGGCATGCCCCACCTCCAAGCTGAGGAGGAAGACGGCAAGCTTAGATGCCGAGAGTTACCCAAAGGCCCAATACGCACCCAATACGGACACAGAATCCCTCAAAGATTTGTTGACTGAGTTCTAACGCAAGTTTTACGATTTGGATTTCATTGCGGTGCGGCGAGGCACATCAAGCAACATATGAAGAATATCGAAGTCTTCGAGCAGGTGCGAGGGGGGTGACACTGTTTCCAGACCGAAGACTTGATGATTGCACCGCCCGAAGGTGTGACACTTAGGAGTGACAAGGCACCAGGTGATGCCAGGCAAAGCGCGCTCTGCGTGCGCAAAGCGCGCTTTGTGCCAGGCCTTCGCAACCATCAAGTCCAGCACGCAAATCAGCGATATTGAGGAGTGCAGACTTTGAGTTGTTGACACAGAAAATACATGGAAACGCTGAGAGAGAGGGAGAGAGAGGAGGCTCATATGTGAGGTTGCAGATTAGAATGAAAAGGTATCCATTTAGCATATCCAAATCGATCGACTTGAGAGCAACCATTGGACTGTGCATGATAGGCTCTGATCAGGTCCAGAGAAGAGTCTGCGCAAAGACATAGTGTGACGTAGAGAAGGATAGGCTTGAGAAATGCATTGTACATTATTACTCTTGTCTGATAGTTTCCTTCAGAGACCGCTTTTAACTCATGATTGAGGAGATCGTCAAGATCTTTGTGAGCCTGGAGCAGCGGAACTTTAGTCCCTCAGTGCATTTCGCTGGGCGCAACCGATCTGGGTGTTGTGAGCCTAATAGAGTCATCATGGATGTTTTCCAGGTTTCAATCATGTGTGATCAGTAAATCTGAAAGGCCTGAATCTGTGGAAACCTTCAATCAGAGAGTTGAACAGTGCGTCACTGAAGTTTTATATTATATGTATATACATATATTATCACCGTGTTGATAAGGTTGACCTCATCGGCATTTAACTGACATTGGAGATTGGGAGCAGCAGATAGTCAGATAGAGAGGATTTGGATATTTGAACAACATGTTGTGAAATGTCGCTGTTGCTTTTGCTCCAGAAGAGTGTCAAGTGGCCATTCATAGTTGTGAGATAGATACAACATTATGAAAGTGCACGCACAACGCGCACCTCTACATGCGTACAAGGTCCTTCTATTCTTCCCACGCTATCTCTGACAAAGGCAGACTGGCAGATGTTTTTTTTCTTTCTTCTCTTCATCATCACCCTGACGGAACTCCATGATGTGGCAAAGCAGTGGAGGTGACTCTGGAGGCCTTGGGCTTGATAGCCCAGAGGGCAGCACCAACCCGAAGCGTACCGTGAGCTTCGGCGAAAGGTCGCATGATTCGTCGGCTTCGCAGGCTTCCTATTCGCCCAGATCTTCCCCGAAGCTTGGCTTGTCCATGGGCACGTTTCGCAGTGAGCACACCGGTGAGCAAAGTCTGGGGACCAGCAGCAGTGCTTTGAGACGCCGCGGGAGTGTGCTGGCCGCTGACACCTTTACTGGTGGGAAGCCCAAAAACAGCACTGCAAGCCTTGTTAAGAACGAGCACAAATATTGTGGAAAGGTCCGCAGAGCGATCAACTACCTAGTGCTGCACCACTACACTGCCAACTTCATGGGCATTGTTGTTTTGTTTGACTCCTTCTTCACTGCCTTTGATATTGATGCTAGGGCAGTCAATGAATCGACACCTCAGATCATACTTACCGCCTCGGAGGTTTGCCTGGTGATGTACACGCTTGACGTTTGTTTGATTCTGCTGGTCTATGGGATCTCCGTGATGAAAGACTGGATGGTCATCTTAGATACCGTCATCATTTTGTGTGGTTACGTTGAGCTCTTGTTCACTCGCTTGGAAGTTGCTGCAGACGTGGCCAACGGCATGGGGATTCTGCGTGTCCTGCGGATGGCACGGATCATTCGCCTCATGCAGCTCTTGCGGAAGACCCGGTCGTTGAAAGAGCTTCAGAAGTTGGTGACGATGATGGCCACATGTTTGAAGGCTTTGGCGTGGTCCTTTGTGTTTTGCTTCGTGATCATGACGATCCTTGGTTGCTCCAGATGGCGTTTGCTTCACTCTTCTTTGTTATTTTTGTCCAATGAAACTAGCATCTCAAAGTTAGAACAGTTCGGGGTTTTCCAATCAGTTCAGTGGAGAAAGGATATGGGCCATGCTGATGGTCGAGATGATTCATCCTTTGATGGTAGAGATGACCTTTGCAGACTGCGAGGAATGTTCCACTGCGTGCAAGTCAGTGATGGGCTTAGTTGTCTTAGTTGCCCAGCTGCCTTTTGTGCTGAAGGCACACTGCATCGGCCAAAGCACACGTTGGCCAGAGAGGTCGTACGCATGATTACCCACAAAGACTTGGAGGACTCACCAACAGCTCTCAACCGTGGAGATTTTCCTTTGGTGGTTCGAATACATCTAGTAGAGTATCATTATCATTCTTCGTCATTCTATATAGCAGGGTCGAACCCGATGTCAGTATCAGCAACATGCATCAATACCTTTGTTGCGAACTCAGGCATTTGAAGAGTCCACACCATCAGTCCCCCTTTGACGCCAAGGGTCACACTTAGAGGGAGAGAAACTGCGATTTCCACTGGATAGAGGAACAAGTACTGCACTTTGCTTGCTCCTCTCAACACTGACCCTTCTCAGAAAATGTCCAAGGTCTCCAGCTCTAAATTCAGCAGATTGCGATAGATTCAACAATAGATGCTGTAAAAGGAAGCAATTTGCTTCAGGGATGTAAAGAATGTTCAGAACGACAGCATGTTTCACCTAGAAACACAGCATGCTTCACAATGCTCGGAACTGTTCTACATCTCACAAAGCGCGGACAAGAACACGCTCAAACAAAGCCATGGTTCAATCCAAGTCCTTTTATTCTTTTTCTTTTGCACTAGTAACAAGAAGCTACTAGGGGCTCCTGGCATCGCTACTAGAAGCAAGGACACTACTAGGGCTCCTGGCCGTGCTACTAGTAACAAGAAGCTACTAGGGGCTCCTGGCATCGCTACAAGGAGCAAAGACGCTACTAGGGGCTCCTGGCCGTACTACTAGTAACAAGAAGCCACTAGGGGCTCCTGGAATCGCTACTAGGGGCTCCTGGCCGTACTACTAGTAACAAGAACCTATTAGGGGCTCCTGGAGCAACGGACGCTACTACAGGCTACTAGTAACAAGAACCTATTAGGGGCTCCTGGAGCAAGGACGCTACTACAGGCTCCTGGCCGTACTACTAGTAACAAGAAGCTACTAGGGGCTCCTGGCATTGCTACTAGGAGCAAGGACGCTACTAGGGGCTCCTGGCCGTACTACTA